TCTAAACCATGTATCATAAAAAACTTTAAATTATCATAAGCAATGTTTAGTTAATTGAGTAAGAGTTACTATTTTACTTTATTATTTTTGTACTTTATTATCTATTTACTAAATCACAATTTGTAAAATGGAGTCATTTATTGTCATTAAAACCAGTAAAAGTCGGTTGACGTGATTTTATTCTGAAATAAATTGTGAAGATATTACTGTAGTGAATCAAAATTGAAATTCATTCCGCAGTTTGGTACATTTACACAGTTGTTATACACTTACCATTAAACCTAAAAGATAATTTGCTCTTTGCTCGTGCAAATTATCTACGCTGCTACAGAAAATTTACTCTGACTAAACTTAATCTTGTTAAACACTTGCAGAGCTTTAATTGATAAAACATTTGTACAATCTAACTGCCTCCTTTTCGCTAAAAATTAATAAACTTATTACCTATTCGGCTCAGTCTACATAAAACTCACGAGAAATATAAGTACACCACGAAACCTGGAGTATAAGAAATTTAGATAAGAAACCCTAAATTGAAAAATTTAAATCACGGTGTTTCAACAAAAGCGAAATTAGCCGTAATAAGAAAAGTTTAGTTAAGCCTTTAATTAACTCAGATTAAGTACTCCAGAGATTACAAGTCTTACTACAATAGAGTGCCTAAGGTCAACCGTGCTTTTTCAGTCACGCACCTCCAGCCCTTTTCGGCAAAGTTTTGAATAGAGCCTGTTTTAACTCTGTCTTTCCACTCCTATTTTGAGTGAGCGATCAGTATGATAACCACTGCCTGGTTAGGGGTTTCCACGAGAAACTTGAAGGTTTTCCGTTCCAATTCTTTTCGCAAACCCTGTTGCTTTTATATTCCGCGGCATAATACCTTTTTCTGTTCCTTAACGGGTGCCCTACTAATAGTGAAATGTTTAAGTAAAATTAAGTAAAACAGGTTCTGAAACTATGGAAGCTATAAGTAATAAGTTACATGTCTTCAACAAACAGCTACGTTATTCTTCAAAAGACAAATTATTATAAAATGGAAAGTAAAATCGATTTGAAAAAAGCCATATGGTAATTAAACTGTCTTAGTTTCTCAGCAGACTCTCAAATCGCCTGACTCAATGTTGCTGCTCTTCCAGTTTTTCGCTTCTGTTTTGCATCAAATGATTTTTCTTCGAAAAGATATTGTTCCAGGAGGTTTGCTGAATTTTGAGAAGTGAGCAGCAAACAGGTAAACCTTTCGTGATACTAGACAGTTCAATGGTTGTTTTAGCTATTGAAAATTCTGTATAAACTTGACTATTTTGCTCACATTCTGTCTCTGAGCACAACTAATATTCACGTAACTTTATACAATTTGAAATTTTTGCATAGCAATGCTTTTCGTGAAACACTTTTCAGACTCATAACACACGGTAAATTTTAAAAATATGACTGTGCTCAAAATTTCACAACTTGAGTTTTCAAATGAGTCGAGCCATGCGGCTCTGTAACTACCAATCAGTACACCAACAATCTTATCATGCAAATGGCTATTCAGCAAGGCCTTTCATCTTTTCCTTCATAGCCGCACTCAGTGCCACGCAGCTAAAAAGTGAATGTAGTAGCCGAAACAAAAAATAAAAAGTAAAAAATCTCTTTCTTGCTACTGTATTTGAAAGTTTGTCAAAGGCATTGTTATGTTGATTACAACTAAAGATAATGTGCAGCCTTACCAGACAAAAAGTAATTCTTTTTAAGCCTATCATTAAATGCCTGCAAATTCTGTAGTCCAGGATTACTTTTTCCTACTGCGTTTAATTCAGTTAAGCCTTACAGACTTTATCAAAGTTGACATTTCTGTCGGAGTTAGCAAATTTGAACGAAAGTGATGAACCAGAACCATTCCAGATTCCTTTAGAATTTTATAAAATTCTAATAAACTTGATTGTCTGTGCATCACCTGTTGCTTATCTAATCCAAAAACTACTCTTCTGCCCAGGAATTTCTTGAAGTTTTGTATATTTGGTAAAATTAGTTGCATGCGTGGCAAAACTTATAAATGCTATAATTCTGAAGCTTAGTTTAGAAATCTTAACTTTTAGGCTTTTTAGGTTGGGCATAGCTTTGAAATGTTGTCATTTTACAATACAAAAAAATTTGAAAATGAAGAAGAGATTTTCTTTAAACCAAAGAGGTTTTCTCTTTACACTTTGAATAAGGTAAAGTTCAGGTTGTTAAAAAGAATGAGAAGATGGTGCGAGCGACGGTTTGTTATTCAACAGAGCAAGAGCTAAGGGTCGCAAGAAACAGATTTGTGAAAGCTTTATTTTATCTTTTTTTCAGAAGGAAATGCAAAAGAACCTCAGTAGTCGATCTGTCAACCATTACTTTTTTCTGCTGCTAGTATTCTTGAACTAAGGTATGTGCTGCTGAAGCAAGGCTAAAAACTAGGAGAACATATAAAATACGTTGAAAAGGCTCCTTTTTATTCAGGAGTGCGCAACACTTCGTGTTATTTTTCCGAAGTAGATATAACTATTTGGAAAGGTAAAATTTTAAGAGTTTATAAGTGATTTGTTTGCTTAAAAAATAGATTAAAAAGGTAAGGAGATAATATCTGCTGCTTTACAAATGGAGTCCACATTTTATTATCTGTAGTTTTCACCTAATTTTGCATCGTTTCAGTCTTTTTCAATTCAAAGCATTACAGATTAACGTTAAAGAAAGCTTTAAGTTGTAAATTTTTTTCTTTTTTTTTCCTGACTCGCTGGTCTACTTCTTTTCAAATACATTTATGAAAATCATCAAATTTGAAAAATATGCTGACACCGTTGACTTTGAGTCGTCAAACGGGTAAAAAATTTTAGAGCTAAACGATCCCAGATCGTATTTAGAACAGGAGGTAAAGAAACAGTTTTTAAAGACCAAGTGACACAGAACTACTTTTAACTTTTATTCTTCCCATGTTCTTCTTAAAGATATTCTATTACGCACATTTGTCTTGCGCAAAGATTTGCAATGATAGAACCTAAAACTGGTGGCTTGCACTAACCTTGTTTGTATGTTTAGACCAGAAAACAACTTCTTAATATCCCTCTCCAAATTAAACAGATTCCAGTTATCTGTGAAGGTATTTTGTCAGGATTTCACTGCCAATTTAAAATGAACGTATAAAAGTTGGTTTTCCTCAGTGCTTCCTACTGGCATAAACTTGACTCTTTCACCAAAGCAATAGAACTGCGTCTAGCAAACAACTGCTGCTTTAACAACTCATCTGTATTTATCTATCTTTGCCAGTTGCAACTGCTTAAAATTTCTATTCGTTATAGTCAGCCATATCACTGCAATAAATTTGAAACTTTTTTAGAATAGCAACAACAAGAGATTCTTATTCTGCAAAACTAGGTGAAAATAAGATTAAAATTAAAATATAAATTGTCAACAAGTTGGTAGATATAAGAATTAGTTTTTTCTAGTATATTGCAAACGATACGGTTTTACCAAGTTGTAACGAAAAATCTGCGTCCCCAAATATATAAATGCGAAATATAAATCGAAAACAACTTGGTAAATTAAGGTAGAAACCTTTAGCACCAACGCGGTGCGGGCATCCATATATACAAACTTAATTTCCTCCTCAGAAAGTCGCTAACCGAACAAATCAATAATATCTACGGTAAACGTTTCCAAACTGATTCCAGATTTAGCCCTTGTTTACCCTCATCTAAATTAAGGCACTCGATGAAGTATACAATAATAATAATTAAATGAGAAAAAATGCAAAAGTGATGGATACTGCACCAGTAGTTTACTGTGCAGTCTTGCTAGCTTTTCTGCACAGTGTAAGCGCAGAAATGATTTTGTAGTGCCACCAACCTTTCGCAGCTGCTAATGCTAAATTTCCTCCGCTTATTGCACACATTTTTGAAACTGTGACAGTACGCTTTTGCTACAGTTGCTTATCCATTTAGTAAAGTACTTCTTCACAAAAAAACAAACAGTGAATAGGAAACCATAAAATCATGGTTTAGTAGACTTCTTAGCAGAAAACTAATATCACACCTACTCTTGTTTATAGTAATCACCAAGAATCGCCTTTTTTTTAACTGCTAACAAGCGGATAAACGTGTTATTTCTCTGAAGGATACTTCGATAGTCAATTGACGCATTAGAATCTAATACCTCGGCTTTGCTGCGACATCAGTCTACCTAATACCTCGTCGACTATACCAATAACTTTTCTACGGCTGCCATCCAAAAACAACTGTTTCGTGTCCGTTTACAAAATATTGCTCTTAAGAACAAACAAATCTTAAAAACACCGCCATGTGTTGATGGAAATTTAATTACACTACCTTTTGAGCATAATTTACAGTTTTTTTGCCATTGCTGAAGCTGTGAAAAAATTCCTGCAATTAATTGCCTCTTATAAAAACTTGCAAAATCCGTACTTCTGGAAAGCACAATAAACTATTTTATCTTGTAAATGGCAATGAAAATAAGAAACAACAAAGTCAGAGCGACCTTCCTGAAAGTATTTACAAATACCACCCAAATTATACAACTCTTTGTAACCACTCTGAAGTTTCTCCTACTCAACAAGTTCAGTAATAAAAATAACAATGTTAACAAAAAATTATTACCACACAATAACATACAAAGACTAAACTAGTCCAACCTAAATATCTTCAAAAAAAAAAACAACTAAACAGAAAAAACAATAGTTCATTCACTACGGCAGACGATTTAATCTCAAGTTTGACAAAAAATTAAAAAGTACTGAAGTTTCACATAAAAGGAAAATATGAAGTAACTAATCGTCGCACAGCTCTATACGGTTATAACTTGAAAAATAATCTCTTAAAAATGTAACTCTATCTTTCTAACCAAACTTTTATCAAAATGAAGCTGTAACCTATTATTCTTTCTCACCGGACTGTTGAAGATTTGGAAATAAATTTGAAACCGTTGCGAAAAGAAAACTTGAAGTGCAACTTTTTAATGATTCTATTGAATTACAGATATTAGTGCTCACACAGGCTCCTCAAGCTCTTCTCATCCAACAGAATTTCATTTATGCGCAGCACAGTCAATTCTGTACTTAACCCTGAAAATGGGTGACTATTATATTAATTCATAAAACAAAGAACATCAAATTTTAAAGCCACACAGCAAAACACCAATATACGACTTTTAAACCATCAAAATCAAACTCTAAAGAACCCGCATTACCAAGAGATATACAAATAAGATGGATAATATTACAAGCTTAAGAAAACCTAACAGATTAAAACAAAAACTCACATTTTAGCGAAGTAATTTGTGCATGATTTATATGCTCATATTTTATTTTCGGATATGTGGTAGTCTTTTCTATAACTGTGGCATTAACAACTACAAAGGGTGGCTTAAGAAGAGGACGTCCGATGAACGTGAAATTTTTCCCACCCACGAGCATTACCTGAATAAATCAACCTTAAATAAGCGCTCCAAATAAAAAAACCAAATGCGACGGTTAATCCCACCAGAAATATTAGATCCTCGTCAGCGTTGTAATTTTACAAATTAGCAAGTTTATCATAACATGCCTTCTCCAACTTGATTCTGTCGCCTACATCAACTGGAATGTTTCCCGCAACTGATATAAGATCATTTTCACCAATTTTATACTGTCGATGATTAAAATAAATCACGGCAAATAAACGGGTATGACCGCCAACCAACTGTGAAGCAATTTTATCCACAACCTACAAAATACAACGTTTTGAACTGAGGGAACTACAGAATCCTTTTCCTTCGGTTCCAATGTCATAAAACTGAAAGTACCAATGCCGTCTTCTCTTCTCCTACAATTTGAAGTGAGTTAGTTACACCATTACGGACACGCTGCAAAATGCGCCCACATAAATTCATCTCAAATTACCTGCAAGAAGAAAAAGATCCTTGCAACAAAAACAAAAAATAACCAACAGAAATCAAAATTGTTAATACGGTTCTCTCTCAAATGTAACTTCAGGCCAACGTATTTCAAAAAAAAACAAATCTACCTCATTTATAAAACTGCCGCTCCAAAACAAAAAAATAAGCGATTAACCGAGAAGTATTCGATGTTCACTGGACTAGCACTAATAAAAATAAAATTTCCAGAAACAGGGCAACCAGGTTTATTCAGTAAAGGAAATAATCGACTTGAAAACAGGAACTGTACACATTTTTTATACAATATAATCAATCACTTCTTGAAAATAATAGAGGACGTACATAAAATAAATTCATAACGGAATACTTTTGATTATACAACGCAGGTTTCACTCGTTAAAAACACTGTACAAAAGAAGTAACATCTACTCTAAACTTCTAGCAATTAGTATTATTAGCTTTCCTACGTTTCGGTTTAAAAGCCGATCTGTTTACTCCACATAAATTTTGCTGCATTTGCTCCGCTAGTTTATTGAATTCTTTCTTTTCAATATCGGTCAATTTTGCATATAACTGGTCAGGTTCAAGACCAACACCTAATGCGGTTAGGTTTCTATCGACTTCATCAACATTCGTTTTCTCCCATTCAGAAAGAGTCTTTTCTTTAACAATTTCTAAGTAATCTAAATCATCAGCCAACTCGTCATCAGAGTCCCATGCTTCGCCTTCTTCAGGCTCCGATTTACCACCTGAAAAGAAAGAGTTAGATGTATGACACTACAAACTAATGAGAAAATAAAGCCACTTAAGTGCTTAGCTCTCTAGATGCTATTCACTAGGTCAAAAAACTTTAATAAAGTCGTAAAGACCAGATGTTAAAACTACTGCAACCGACTGGAACTGAAAATCTGAACTATACCTACAGCCACATATGAAACCGAATATGAGAGGAAAGCTCACTAGAAGTCCCGGGCTCGTTCCGACCACCATTCCTCCTCATATACTCTTCGAAGCTAGTTATCCCAACATCCTTCCCATTTGCATTGCAATTAAGTCCTTTGGTCTCGTTAATAACGCATTCCCGATAGAACCCTTCTGCACACTTCTTATGCAGCTCGCTGCGATAGCACTTCAGTGAACAATACTTCATCTTACAACGTGGACACAAATACTGGCTCCCTAGCCTTGAACAAAAACCGCACTGCGAATCAGAGTCAGACATTTCGGTGATAAGCAGAATAACTTTCTATCGCCCAAAATCTCGAATACCCGAAAAACTATATCAGCAAATCGTCGAGAAACCGCTATAAACTGCCAATACCTCACTAAAAATAACTTCAGATGTACTCTCTCTGATACAAACAAAATATTTGCGCAGACGCCACTTTTCGAATTATTTTTGCACTTTTTAAGTCAAAAAGTAACGGTCTACCCTTTTTGTTTCATTTGATGAAAAGATACTACAGGAATAAATTACTTCCAGTTCGGGTACAATGAATTCAAGTATATATAAACTTTTATACCACTGCCACAATCATAATCAATGTAACAACAGTAAAACAGTTACTAAGATACCATCTAGAAAGTAACCAAAATTTCAAAACACATTTTTTGA